GGCAGGAGAGTAGACGGCGGGACCTCCAACGGGATAGGACAAAGGGTTGGCAGGATCCCCGGCAGGAGAGTAGACGGCGGGACCTCCAACGGGACAGGACGTAGGGTTGGCAGGACCCCCGGCAGGAGAGTAGCCGGCGGGGCCTCCAACGAGACAGGACAAGGAGCTGGCAGGACCCCCGGCAGGAGAGTAGACGGCGGGACCTCCAACGGGACAGGACAAGGGGTTGGCAGGACCCCCGGCAGGAGAGTAGACGGCGGGACCTCCAACGGGACAGGACAAGGGGTTGGCAGGACCCCCAGCAGGAGAGTAGTCGACGGGACCCCCAACGGAACAGAACATGGAGTTGGCAGGAACCCCAGCGGAACCTCCAACGGCACTTCAGTAGGGACTTGAGTTGGGACTGGAGAGGGGACTCGACAGGGGACTCGAGAGGGAACTGGAGAGGGGACTTGAGAGGGAACTGGAGATGGGACTAGAGAAGTGACCTGAGGAGGGACTAGGGAAGGGACTAGAGAAGGGACTTGGGAAGGGACTAGAGGGGGAACTCGAGAAGAGACTAGAGAGGGGACCAGAGATGGGACTATGGCAGCTGGGGCAAGAGCTGGGTCTGGAACCATGGCTGCGGGGGCCGGAATTGAAGCCAGAATCAGGGCTGTAAGGTCCGGTTCTGGAGCCGGAAACATGGCTGTAAGGTCCGGTTCTGGAGCCGGAAACATGGCTGTAAGGTCCGGTTCTGGAGCCGGAAACATGGCTGTAAGGTCCGGTTCTGGAGCCGGAACCATGGTTGCTGGGGCACGGGCTGGAATCCTGGCCCTGCGTCTCCTACAGGCCCCTTGGAGACACCGTGGACCTCTACCAGTACAGTAGTCGGATCCCAGGAAAGGGTTAGAGGCTTGAGAAAAGTTTCCAGGACTACTGGTAAAAAGTTGTAGCCACTCAGGCAACAAACTCCTGAGCCAGGGCTTGCGAGCAACCTCCTGGCGTGCCTCCTTCAAAGCAGCCACTCTACCCCGTATAGATGAGGCGTCATCCCACGTATAAAAAATATACTCCAGAGAGCACCCAAGACGGTCCGCCTGTAGCCTCAAAAAAGCTGAATCCGCTGGGTCCATATTTGGTTGGTTCGTACTGTCACGGTGTGTGAAGCAGGTAGGACCCAAATGCAGATCAAAGTGAAAGTTCCTTTATTTCAAGGCTAGGTGATAACACAGACAGAACAGAACACTCACCGACGATCTAGTCATGACAAAAGACGAACCGACAAAGACAGACAGAAAAACCAGAACTTAAATACACACAAGACTAATCACACAAACAAGACACAGGTGAGGAGGGAGGAGAAAACACAGGTGAACACAATCGGGTAATCAGACACACCAGGGAAACTAACGACAGGGAACCACAGACAAATCCAAACAAGACACAACGCAGACAGAAACAGGCAAGACAGGAGGTGAAGACCTTTCAAAATAAAACATGAAACAAGACAAGACAAAACACCACAAAGACAGATCGTGACAGATGCAGCAGTGCAAATATCTTCCACTGACATTCCTCCGTGCAAAGCCATGGAGGAGGACATTCCTCTGGTGGAGTGCGCATTGATGTTTCTCCGGGGGCTCCACCCCAGAGGAGACATATGCCTGTGACACAGCCAGTGTGACAGCCGTTGTGCAGACAGAGGCTGCCCGATCGAGCGCTCTCTATAGTGCACAAACAGACGCTGAGAACGGCGCAAGGCAGCCGTGCGCGCCACATAGCAGGACAGCACGCGCACAGGGCAGAGGAGATGAGACGTGGCTTCTTCCTCCGACCTGTAAGGAGGGGGAAAGAAGCCATCCAAGGTGATCACTCTCGACTCTAAAGAGCTTGTGATGACCTTTGGCATAAAAGCCGGGTTAGGGCGTAAAACAGCTGAACTGCCATCTCCTTGGATCCGGAGGCATGACGGAGCCACAGAGAGAGCAGACAAATCACTCACCCTTCTCGCTGCTGTTAGAGCCAAGAGTAATACTACTTTGGCTGACAACAGTTTAAGGGGAACCTGATCAGGTTCAAATGGGGCTTTGCTTAGTGCGCGTAACACCAAAGCCAAATCCCACTGAGGCGCCAGTGCGCATGACACCGGTCTGAGTCTCCGTACTCCTCGCATAACACGGCTGCTGCGCTCTGCGAGCCCCTCTGTTCAAATCGACGGGAATATACATTGCTCTGATGGAGAGCAACGTGTGTGCGCGCCCAGAACAGCAGCCAGCTGCGTTCAGAAGCTGCGCAGATCGTACTCCTCCCTGGCGATTGAGGTAGGCTACTTCCATAGCCGTGGCCTGTTGTCTGTGCAAATCAACACATGTTTGATTGTACAGCAACGGGGCGACTCCCCCGTTCTTTTCCGAGATTTAGAAAAATAGCGGGGGTAAAAACCGCGCAAGACACTGTTCCTGGGATGACAGGAGTGTTTCTTGTATCCCATGGAACTGCTGGGGGGAGAGGCTTCTCTGTGATGTGCCGTAATGGTCGTCATGGTGACGAGCCATGCCATCGCTGCCCATGAGGCGAAAGGGCTGCGAGGGAGTCTCCACACGCTGCATTTCACTCCGTCTCTCATCATGAGGCGCATACACGCCCAGAGGATGAGAGGTGTGTGCATGCTGTCCACACGAGGCGTTATAACGGTGCTCGTGGATTTATTATGACCGTGTGTAGGAGGCATATCTGGGACAGAGGAATGCCGCGAGCTCTGCTGTTTATAAACCAATAGGTTAAAAACAGCAGTTCCTCCACTCGCTGCCGCGAGAGCCGTGCTCTCATGCTGGCTGAGTTTAATTCCACTCCAGATAAACGATTGTCTGAGAGGGAAGAGGACAGCTTTTCTTCCAATTCATTATGAAACCCAGGCTTTGACAGATGCGATACGAGATGTAACGTCTGTTATTATTACATTACATTGCATTTAGCTGACGCTTTTATCCAAAGCTACTTACAATACGTACATTCGACCAGGAAGACACAACCTTGAAGAAAACAGAATCATATAAGTACATCAGGTTTCATAGAGCCAAACATTTCAAGTGCTACTCAACTGGCTATAGATAAGCCAGTCCTTTATTAGTATATAAGTGCTTTGTTTATAGTTCTAGTGGAGTCGAAAGAGATGAGTTTTCAGTCTGCGCCGGAAGATGTGCAGGCTTTCTGCTGTCCTGATGTCAATGGGGAGCTCATTCCACCATTTTGGAGCCAGGATAGCAAACCCACGTGTTTTTGCTGATGGGAACTTGGGTCCCCCTCGCAGCGAGGGTGCAGCGAGTCATTTGGCTGATGCAGAGCGTAGTGCAAGCGCTGGGGTGTACGGTTTAACCATGTCCTGGATGTAGGAAGGGCCAGATCCATTCGCAGCACGGTAAGCAAGTACCAGTGTCTTGAAGTGGATTCTAGCAGTTACCGGAAGCCAGTGAAGGGAGCGGAGGAGCGGAGTGGTGTGGGAGAATTTAGGAAGGTTGAAGACCAGACAAGCCGCTGCATTCTGGATGAGCTGCAGAGGTCGGATGGCACATGCAGGTAGACCAGCCAGGAGAGAGTTGTCCAAAGAAAATCCATGTTCAAAGGCCACTTAGTCTAGGAGGCGAGCTTGAGTATTGACTCGCGTATATTCAAAAAATCAGATACCTTGCTCGTTCCGTTCTGGTGCTTTATTGAGAGGTTCAATAGATCAGCTGGCGGCCCACTGCCGTATTTAAACAAATAAACAAACAAGATCCATTGGTCATACGGATGTGTGCGGTCAAAAACTTTTTCCAACTGCCTCTCTAGACTTCCTGCTGTGTCATGCTGGCAGCATCATTTATACCTGAGCACGCCCCTACTATTGCTTTGTATAAATAATAACAAAACATAAACTAGAGCTGTCCATAAGCAAGATGACACGTTACAAAAACAGTATAATAATAATTCATAGTTATTCAGCTCATTTAAGTTAAATTAAAGAATATTCAATTGGCTCACAAAACCATAATTCATTACCATAAAATAATGTGCCTAAATGGCTCTTACAATTCCGGCCCCTAATTATAAGGCGGGAAGACTTATAATTAATAATAATAACAAGAGTCATTTCCAAACAAACATATGGCTAATAATAGCTCAATTATACTCCTAACAAACAACGTTTGCATTTACTTTTGGGGGAGGAATTCACCTACACCCCTTGACATAGGTTTTCCATAAACAAACTAAATACATGGCTCTGTTCTTCTTCGTCCATAAAAAGCACAACTGAGCAGTTACAGTCTTTAAACTCTTCAAAGATTACCTTGAAAAGTCTCATCTTTGAGATAACTTCCATCAAGTTACAGGTGTTGCCCATTAAAGGCTCAACTTCATTCATTTTGGCAGTGAGTCGTCTTAATTTACCTCTCCTTGCATTGATGCAGAGCTGTCGCCGCTGCTCCATGGCCTTTTCTGTTGGTTTTGCTGCCCTCTTGTGGGCGTCGACCGTAAACGCACCCTCAGTGGCTCTGTCCTCCGACATTATTCAGCTGGTTTGGCTGAACAAAAGACAACAGCTGTTTTACCAAGTGGCTCGAACTCCAACGGAAAGGCATGCAGAGTAGCGTGACAGCCTGCAGTCCATGTCCACACGGTAGAGGATAATCCAAATGGTCATTTGCTCAAGTAGCCACGATCAGATCCACTTCGTTTCTGCCGCGGCTCCAGTAGCGACGATCAGATCCACATTCGACAATTCCAGTGATTGTAGGTTCCTACACGCTAGTAATCCTCACGACGTTGTCGGTCAGTTTTTGACTTATTGTAGTGGCCAATTGTCCAATGAAAATTAATGTTCAAAGGCTACTTATTCTAGGAGGCGAGCTCGAGTATTGACTCGCGTATATTCAAAAAAATCTAGGCTACCTTGCTCGTTCCATTCTGGTGCTTTATAGCTTGGTTTCAGTCACGTGACTTCTATGACGCGCGAAATTCAAGTGGAGGTCAGGAAGTGAAAACGCAATCATTCATCAACGCAGGAATCATGGAGGACACCGACTATGTCAAACAATTAAATGAACCTGCACGGCGCAGATATCGTGAAAAAATCACAGCACACATCGGATACGATCCGTATCAGCTGAAAAAAAACTTTTCTCGTGATTTATCCGATTTGCCCGCTGTCCAGGCGATGGATATCACCAGCTACCTCGTCCTTCATACCTCCTACTACACGGCTAGCCAGATGAAAGCGTATAAAAGCCTGGAAGCTTTCAACTACTTCGTGTGTGGATGGGTGAATGACCTCGGCACCAAAGAGGCATTAAACAAATGTCGCCTTGTTTTTGCCCGGGTGAGTGTTAACTACCTATACCTTCTTACCTCTAAGTAGCATTATTAGGAGACATCTAGCTAGCTAACTTTAGCTACATGGACTCATGTAAGGCAGTGTTACGGCTGTCGCCTTGCCTTCAGCATTAACTGGCCTGTGAGTGTGTTGTGTGTGTATATATGTGTATGTTTGTTATGTGTTTAGCTTAGGATATATTGTGTTTTGTGTGTATAGACAGCTCAGAGCCTTTGAACAGCCTGCACGTTGTTTATATCACTCTATGTTGAGGTTAATATTAAAAACAACCTCTTTACCAAGACCATCTGGTTATGTGTTGCTTGTGATGTTGTTAAATGTATGTTACCAACTCGCAAGTTGTGAACTGGAGCTTCAATTGTGTAGGTCAACCATTCCCAGAGGTCTGGAGAAACACCATTAAAAACGTGGATTGTAGCTAAAGAAGATGGAGAGGTTGTTACAGCACACTGTAACTGTATGGCTGGGTAAGTCATAAAATAAATATCCCAACCCAAAGCATATTTGACACAACACTTAAGCTCAGACAAAATAATGCCTGCTATAATATTCATGTTATACCATTACTAGCTTTTACGATCAATCTAGTTATTCTAGTATGTCTCTGTCTATACAGTTTGTCAGAATCCTGCTCACATGTTGGAGCAGTTCTGTTTGCAATCGAAGCAGGTGTGAAGATGAGAGAGACTGCATCCTGCACCACTGAGAAGTGCAAGTGGCTAATGCCATCACATGTCAAAAAGGTATTCAGACCCCAGTGGTCAGTCAGCTGTTCATGCCGTCCTTGCCTGTCTCATTGTTACACTGCACCTACATGTATGTTCACATACATGTTGGTCTGTCTCTCACATGTGCAGATTCCTGCTGCTCCAGTTGCGATGATAGACTTTTCATCCGCAAAATCCAAAAAGCAAAAACTGGATGATGCCATTGCTGGAAGGACAGGTGAGAAGCACACATTTCAGCGTCCCACAGTCCAGGGTTCAAAATTGGAGCGAGGATCAGAGAGGTATATGCAGTTTTTCAAGACTTTGAGCAGAAATTCCCCAAGAAGTGCTGCACTGATGTCCAGGGAACCATATTACAGAGAATTTGTCCCTAAATCTGTGAGCAAGCTACCTAAACCACTACCTCAGTATAGGACACCAGAGATGCTACAGCTATCCCCAACAGAGTTGCAGAATGCATGCCAGGACTTCAGACAGGAAGAGCTGACACAGCCACAGGTCCAGGCAGTAGAGGAGGAGACCAGAAACCAGAGCTTATCAGCAATATGGTTTAGCCAAAGAGCAGGAATGATCACAGCCTCAAGACTGAAGCAGGTTCTACAGACTAGTCTTGCACAGCCATCAAAGTCCTTGATCAAGTCCATATCCTACCCAGAGGCATACAAGTTCTCTACAGCTGCAACAAGGTATTTATTAGGGATTAGGGAGCCAATCAGAAAAGCAAACTGTATACAGTTTTTCTCAGACGCGGAGGGATACCGACTTGTTGTGAAAAGTAACTTACAATTCTACCCGTGGTATACGCTGATTATATCACGTATATCAGTAAGTTACAGTACAAGTAACTTATAACTAAATTCATTATCATTACAAAACATGATTCACAAAATATTCAATGCATAAAAATACTGTGTGTGTGTGTGTGTGTGTGTGTGTGTGTGTGTGTGTGTGTGTGTGTGTGTGTGTGTGTGTGTGTGTGTGTGTGTGTGTGTGGTGTGTGTGGTGTGTGTGTGTGTGTGTGTGTGGTGTGTGTGTGTGTGTGTGTGTGTGTGTGTGTGTGGTGTGTGTGTGTGTGTGTGTGTGTGTGTGTGTGTGTGTGTGTGTGTGTGTGTGTGTGTGTGTGTGTGTGTGTGTGTGTGTGTTGTGGTGTGTGTGTGTGTGTGTGTGTGTGTGTGTGTGTGTGTGTGTGTGTGTGTGTGTGTGTGTGTGTGTGTGTGTGTGTGTGTGTGTGTGTGTGTGTGTGTGTGTGTCCCATACATGGGAGCGACGGAGGGTGTCACGTGCACCTGCCATGGAACTGGTATCTGTGAGATAAAGGTAAGTTATTTGTTCAGTATTGTGCTACAGTAAAGCGGGTAAGTATAGGATTGTGACGTGATCCTGAGTCTGGGGATCCTCTCCCAATACATTTTGAGCTGCAGACACTTATTTACAGTACAATATATTACTTTTCTTTTCATTGAACTTTTAGTGCCCACACAGCAAACAAGAGGAGGCCAATCTTCGCCTGTGTGCTGGAGAACAGGGCTTCTGTCTCGTCAACGATGGGAGCACTGTGAAGCTGGACAGGAGACATGCCTACTACCATCAAATACAGGCTCGGCTCCACCTCGTTGATGTTGACTACTGCGACTTTGTTGTCTGGACTAAAAATGACATCTTTGTAGAGAGAATTGTGCGTGATGTGGACCTGTGGGACAACATCATTCCCAGAGTTGAGCGTTTCTTCAGACTATGTGTTCTCTCTGAAGTGTTGGGACAGCAACTTACAAGGGGAAAGGTAAAAGTCATAAAGAGTTGGTGTGCTCATTTTTTTCCACAAGAACATGTTAGTGCATAACTATCAAGCCTCCTCTCCCTGTCTGCTGTTCCATTTTTCAGTTTCAGTTGCAAGATGATCAGGAGGGAGAGAAGGCGTGATTACCAGCACCTGTGGTCTGTCCTGGTCCCGGAAGTTGTGGTTCTCTCCTTGTTGCATTATTATTACGTGCCGTAGTGGGTGCTGGTGTTTGGGTGTGTGTGGGTGTCTTTTTCTCTCTCCCTCTGATCTCCCCAGGTGCTCCCAATCTCCAATCAGCGCCTCCATATAGGACATGAGGAAGGTCGCTCTCCCCTTATCTTAAGCTTTGTTTGACAAGTTGGCTGGTGAGCCCTTTTTCATTGTGTTAATTAAAAGACCACTTTATGGCGTCAGAGATCAGTTTCCTCTCGGCCGGTTATGTTGTGTGTCGCTACTTCCCTTTGTACCCCTATATTTACAAGGGAACGTAACATTTGCACAGTGGCAGCTCTTTAACCTGCATTACAGCACCTTCATATTCACTGACCACACTCACTAGAGGAAGTAGGGCTGTGTGATATATTGCTATTGTAAAAAAGATGTTTACTGAAAAGATTAAATGATACTAAGACTGAATAATACATGGTTTCTTATTTACATTTACAATAACCCTCAATGGCCATACATGGGAGCGTCACCAGACCAATGGTCATCTCTAGAATATTGTTGAATGAATTAAGCCTGAATGTAGATGAAAGTTGTATATTGAGTAGGGCTACACAATTTTCAACACAAAAAGATGTTTACTGAAAAGACTTGAACACAAGATGTTTGAACACAAAAAGATGTTTACTGAAAAGATTAAATGATACTGAATAATACATGGTTTCTTATTTACAAGACTACAGCTCCATGACTTTACTCCAATGGGACGACAGACACTGACAGATTAGACAAGGCACAGCAAATAACCCAATCTTGTCAATTAATGCTAGTGCCTCACCTGGTTTTGTTAGCATGTGCTCTATGGGCACAGCCCTGCTTTGCAGAATCTGACTAATCCTATGACTCTTTCAACATGAATACGCACATTAGCTATTTTTCTTGTCTCTTCCACCTCGTATGCTGACAGCTGACTTTTCCCCCTGGTGAATGCAGGCATCTTTAGTGAAGCAGTACTATCGGCAATATCGAACCCACGGTCTGCTAGGACAATATCTCCAGGTAACAGGTTTTTTAGGAGCCCACTCTGTATTGTGATCTGTTTATCACTAACTCTTCCTCCCCAGGCACAAGATATGTAGGTAACATAGCCTTGGGGAGCAACACCAATCAGAAATTTAACAGTATGGTGATGCTTGTAGTTGGACCATGTTTGTGCTCTAGCTAGTAAATTAGAGGGCCTCTCAATAAAAACTTCAAAACAGTCAACAATCACAGCAACTCTACATCCAAATGCCTGTCTGAATCCCATTGGCATTGTAGCTTGAAGTACATGTCGCTCTGGCCACTCAATTATAAATTCTGTACTCTCGTGAAGTATGTCAATTAACTTATGCCAAATTCTAGAAGCAGTGGAGAGAGATGTTGAACCTGAAAGCCAAATCTTTCAGAGGGAGATTTAGTCTCAGCCTCAGCAAAACTAAAATGAACTGTTCAAATTTGGAGAGCACAGACATAGGGCCACAGGTGATATAGGGCTCGCACAGTTGAAAAACCTGAAGTAAAACTAAGAAGTTGGGGAGCCCGGTGTAAAACTTTGTTTTCTCTTCGTTGTTCTCAAAGGACTCCTGGTTGAAGGAATCTGGGTGTGACCCTAGATAACAACCTGTCCTTCACTGCAAACATCGCTGCTACAACCCGTTGCTGCAGATACACGCTTTACAACATCAGGAAGATACGTCCCCAGCTGACTCAGAAAGCGACTCAGGTTCTGGTCCAGGCTCTCGTCATCTCACGCCTAGACTACTGCAACTCCCTCCTGGCTGGTCTACCTGCATGTGCCATCCGACCTCTGCAGCTCATCCAGAATGCAGCGGCTCGTCTGGTTTTCAACCTTCCTAAATTCTCCCACACCACTCCGCTCCTCCGCTCCCTTCACTGGCTTCCGGTAACTGCTAGAATCCACTTCAAGACACTGGTACTTGCGTACCATGCTGCGAATGGATCTGGCCCTTCCTACATCCAGGACATGGTTAAACCGTACACCCCAGCGCGTGCACTACGCTCTGCATCAGCCAAACGACTCGTTGCGCCCTCGCTGCGAGGGGGACCCAAGTTCCCATCGGCGAAAACACGTGGGTTTGCTATCCTGGCTCCAAGATGGTGGAATGAGCTCCCCATTGACATCAGGACGGCAGATAGCTTACACATCTTCCGGCGCAAACTGAAAACTCATCTCTTTCGACTCCACTTCGAGCGTTAGAACGATTAACGAAGCACTTTTATACTAATAAAGGACTGGATTACCTAAAGCCAGTTGAGTAGCACTTGAAATGTTTGGCTCTATGAAACCTGATATACTTATATGATTCTGTTTTCTTCAAGGTTGTGTCTTCCTGGTCGAATGTACTTATTGTAAGTCGCTTTGGACAAAAGCGTCAGCTAAATGCAATGTAATGTAATGTAATGTAACTTTGTGTCCAGTGCCTTTGTCCGAAGATCTCCCAGCTCTGTTGTGTTCTGTCTCAGAACATCCTCCATCCTCTCGATGTCCTCCATCGTTAAATCAGTCTGGCATCCTGCATCTGCATACAATATAGCAGTAGCAAGCATAATTAGTTATTTAAAATAGTCAAATATGAATGTGAATTTTTGTGAAGTTATCTTTTTGACAACCTTTTTACAGACATGCAAGTTCTCTGTTCCAATTATTGCAGATTCTCAAATTAGTGCTCTATTTTCTAAACCTAATTCAAAGTTAGCATTGATTTTCTGACAATCACATTTGTAATATTTAATAATAATGCTGGTGGTTAATTTACCTTGTTGGTCATTTAATATCCCACTGGTGTCCTCTGGTTGTGGGCTGTCAGACGGGGGCTGCGTCGGTTCTGGGCTCTCGGTTGTCTGCAGGAGATCCAACAAAGCCTCTGCACATTCTGATTGTCTTTGTTGGTCTTCCTTGAGCTCCATCCTCTGCTCTCGTCGAAGAGATGCCTCTGATCTGGGCTTACTTGTTGTGTGGTAACCGAGGCTAACAGTGGGAGCCCAGTCTACCGACTCAACGTCACCCAAAGCGCTAGGGCACCCTAAAAAGTCCCAACAAAGTCCATATTAGACTACAGGTAACTTAAACATGATCAGTATTACTCAGTGCTGGAATTGGGCCGGTACTCACCGGTACGCAGTACCGGCACTTCTGGTTCTGACCCATGGAGTACCGGCACTTCTTGCTCAGTACCGGCATGCTGGCGGTACTCCGGTACTCATGCACCGTGCCAGTACTCAACACTCTCCCGCCGTTCTTATTATACATCCATATATATATATATACAGCCGCCCGGTACTCAGTAGATGCGTCATGAGGTGCCGAACGGACATTCTCATCGCTCTAACCGCTGGAGTTTCACAGCGGCTGTCAGCTGTTTACTCCTGTCATTCAAACAGAACGTGCTGGAGAGGGGGCGGGGCTTATCTTCTCCATGTAAATACTGTGGTGGAAACGACTATGTCAAAATTAACCTATTTGACCGTGATTTAATAGTAATACACGTTTCAAATAATAATAATAATAATGCCGAAGTAACAACATACGGAAAACTGTTAGTAAAACCATGTTTTAATGCTTTACAATTTACATACCTAGATGCACGTGTGTTGTGTTTATGCAGTGCAACTCCCACCCAGTGGGTGGCTATGTAGAGTGATAGAACAGAGCAGGCACGCCCCCGAGAGAAGGAAAGCAAGTCACGTCACAAATTAGCATTTCTAAAATGTTAGAGTGGATTAATAAAAGTGCAAAAAGACAGCGGTTGTCGCCGGAAGAAACTTCAAATACAGAGAATGCTGTGCCTGTGTTGGAAATTGTGTCTGATGGGGAGCTTTCTTTGGTTGATCCTCCTG